TGTATTTCTCATTAATGATCCAAATTAAGATACCAATTATAATTAATTTTTATGGTAATTCCAGTTTTACTCACACAATCAATCCAGTCATGTAAGTCATCTATCTATAACTCTAAAATTGCCTAATTAGCCAACAAGCAATGCTTTTATGCTTAGTTAGTTGCGCATTTAATGACGTAAAGAAGTTAATGAATTATATATTAACTTAAGATAGTAATATTTCCCTGTACATAGCTTGGTTTATTCAAAGTGTGGATTAGCATAATCCAAGAATTCTCGTCAGTTATCCACTTCATTTTTATTAGCAAGCTGACTTAATTTAAATTTTACACACATGTTGCATACAGATATCTTATGTAACTTCGGATCTAAAGGTTGATATTTATTGTTCACATTTTTAACTCTTGGTATCATCTACATTTCGCAATGGCAATGGTATCCCTTTCCCTGCTTCAAAACATCAATGTAATAAGATTCGTTCAGATTATTTCCTTATTATTCCTTCATATCTTATAAAATGTTATGTGATTACGGGCATATTCTCTATTTCCCTTTAAACATTTAAATGACCAGTCTATATTTTCTACATTCTTCTTTAAGAAGCCTACTCTTGATTTATGTAAATCTTCATAAATGTACTACTAAATTTTGCGCAAAGGTTTAAGGACCTCATTGGTGGATGTACCCATAAGATCTGCAGTATCAAATAACAACAAAAAAGCGCTATGTAAACAATGATAAACTTTGATTCCGTTTCTATTCCACATGAGATCGATAAAAAAACCGAAAATAATGTTGTGCGAGCTGTTTTGGAAACCTAGACTAGACAGAAATATGTAAAGGACATAATAGGCTAATCAGTAAACGAGTCGAATAAATAGGGAGCAAGATAATATTTAACAGAAAGGGTTAGCGACTGGTCAATGTGTCAGGAGCAGTAGTAGAGGGATAGTGAGCTGTTGTGAGGCCTTGGAATAAATTTGTTAGGTAGACTTGCTGCTGCAAAATCATCAGCCAGAATACTAAATCTGTAACCACCTGAGTCACTTGAGGTGAAGATGATTGTATCGACGCCTGCAGAATGTGAAATTGATTTTTCATAATCAAATGATTCCCAAACATATAAGGGGAAATCGTTTTCATGCGCCCATGATTTAATGGAAGGTAACCAACTTTAGAACAGCCGTTCTTAATAAGTCAAATTTAAGCCGTATGGTAAAAAGCTCTTAAATAATTGTTAAGTAAACAATAAATGTGTTATGTCCTCTAAAATTATACCTTTACTGGAAAAAATAGGCTAGATGCACTTTAGCTTATCGGCTTAGATGGTCACATCGTCTTGGTTTTTACTTCTTCCTTATAAAAATTATTTTATATTTGGTATAGCCATCCAAAAATTAAAAAATTCTATATTTTGCTAAATAGTACTCTGAAGTTGTGTTGTGTTATATTGTGCATTAATTTTATATGTCACGTAAAAGACTCTTATATTAAAGTCTCTATAAGTAATATTAGTTAATAATTGTGCGAAACGAAGTACATCGTACTCTAGTACGGCGGGGCTAAATGTCAGTTTCTCGCATAATCTCAAGTAAGTTTATAATTCGCATATGTTTTTGATGCTTCGCTTAATCGTTATAAAATGCATTATTGTCTGGAGGATTGTTTGGACTTAGAATTCACTAGAGTGGAGTTTATGGGCTCCTCATAAAGTATATATTCTAACGTCCTATTGTTTTTATTGTATCTGATTTTGCTCGTCTTGAAAGACTACTTATTTCGTTTATATGGATTTATGATCTATAAGTTTCCATGCTAAACCAAGCAAATATGTGCACTACATTTTTTACTTTTAAGTTTCTATTATTACATTTTTCTTGAGTGTTGTACTGGCTGAAGCCGATCTTTGGGCCCGCCACCCTTAACATTCCGCGTGTCCTGACTCGGTTTTGGCATGTCTTGGCTGTTGGGTGGGAGCGGCGGGCAGGATTTACCGACGGCTACCCCGAATCTGCCAGATGTACAGGCTCAAATGGGTGGGCAGATTCAAGGGGATAGATCCACTAAAGATGTAAAAAATAGCGTGGATAACTTTAATCCTTCGGCACTCGAGCGGGCGGCGGCAGCTGTGGCAGTTTTGGATAAATCAAGTGAGTTGGTATCATGGCTTCTATTTGTTAAGGAAATGCTCTTAGTGCCTTTGATATATCAAAAAAACAGGAAGAGACTTTGCAACTACAACATAAGGCGACTATCAAAGTAGCACATTAATTCCGCTCTTATCAAATTAAGCAACTTGAAATTGAAGCAGAGCAGGTGAAACTGCGAAAAACAGCTGTGATAGAAGCTGAAAAACGCAAAACGATAGAATTAGATTCAGCTTTAAAGAAAGAACGTGCCGATTACCAAGACAGGCTTGCCAGGAAACGTCAGGAAGACCAAATGGCCTTTCAGGTCTGTTCACAGTTTAATTATTTTTATTAGGCTAAAATGCAAGCAGAATCCCTGCGTAGTCAGGAAGAATCATTAGCTAGACAGGAGGAATTAAGAAGAGGTAGCTTTGAAATTTAATATATAAAAATAGGCACAATTGCTTATGAGGCGGATTTGCGCTTAAAAAATGAGACTATGCTATTAGAGGCCAGGCTGAGGGGAGAAGCTGAAATGGAACGTGTAAATAGAGACATACGCCTTGAAAAAGCCAGAGTTGAAGCTGGAGAGTTCCGAGAGACTGTTCTCAAATCAATTACTACTGCTGGC